TCTATGAAAAACTGGGTTCTTAGTAGCATTTCTAAATTGGAGAATTAAACCTTTCTCTATTACCCATGTTCAATGTCATCTTTCAGACTGCTTTTCAGCATGAAAAATTCCTACCACCTGTCTTCCTGCCTGCTGCCAAGTCTAGAGTATTAGGTGTTGCTTTTGTCTGACTTTCTTGTCCAACCAATGAAATGTTTCATGAAGTGACCTGCAGCATTCAGCCAAATGTGGCTTGAATCAAATACAAGTACAAATGTAACTAAAAAGCCAGTGACTAATTTTAAGTGCTTGTCATATTAAATTATGTATTTGTATTTGATGAATGGTTTTGACCTTGAGTATAATCACTGCCCAAATTACCTTTAAGAAAGGTCAACTCCTACACACACATGCACACACTTATGTGTGCGCGCACAAACACACACACACACAGATGCTGAAAGTGCTTGATTTTTTTTTTTTCAAGTTGAAGTTTCAGAGGATCTGTCTACATTATTTATCTCAGGGCCCTCTATTTAAATTTTGACTCAGTTTGTGGTGTTTCACTATAAAAGTATAGCTTTCTCTAATTTCAAACTTTTACCCTGTGGGTAAGTTATAAGTTTCACTGAAATTTGGTCTTTGTTTCTCTTATAACATCATAGATTCCATTACTCTGACTCAATAGCAGTTCATTAAGCTGAGCATTAGGGTTTGGATATAACAACACATTTTGGGTAAGTCCCTACAGCCACTGTTTGTTGTCTTTCCTCCTTCCTACAGGAGGAGCACAGTGAATCCAAGGTTCAGTGAGCTACTGTGGATGCCAGTGAACAGATTGACAGCTCCAGGACCTCATTATCTGACACTTTGCCCATTCATTTGGTGCTAAGCATGGCAGGCAAGAGCACTGGCAAAACACATCTGGGAGGTTAATACAATGCCCTACATCCATATGAGAGACTGACCAGAAGCACTGCTTTGTAGGCCTAAAGCAGAAAAGTCACAGAAAGAAATACATTTCAGGAAAACTCCCCTAAATTACAAATATGTTTTGCCTCAAATACTTAACCTTTCAACATGATCAACAGATCACAACTCCTTCTGAGCCAGGTGCTGATAGGAAATGTTGGAGGATGGGAAGACAAATGTCATGAGAAGTTCAAAGTGATTATCACTAAGCTGGTAGTAGTCACTTATATGAATGAAAGGAAGCTTTATCCCTACATGAGAAAATCACCAGCAAAGGACTAGATGTGTATTTCCATGGTTCCCTTTTGGATTTAGGGAAATTTGAACAATAAGGGTGAAAGAAGTAAGAAAATAAGAAAGGAGTTAGTTGTCTTTCTGCCCAAACCAACAAATAGAGGAAGGGACTCATTTCAAAGGGTTATAAAATAAATTGATGTCTTAAAGATATAGCAACTAGGTAAACTTGATCAATGCATAAAAGAAGAAGACTGAAGAGGAAGATGTGTTCTGTCCATGGACTTGGGCAACAACAAGAAAAATATGTACCTCACTTATTTATAGATTCAATTTTATGTTAAAAAAAACTTAATTTTAGGGCCTCCCTGGTGGCGCAAATGGTTAAGCACAGCACTATGAAGCTGTCTGCAGTCTCTGCAGCACAAGTTTGATCCCTGGTCTGCCAGGGAGCTACCCACATGGCGCAGCAGACCTCTCCTGTCTCACCCGCTGCTCCCCTCAGCAGTGTATTTCAGTAGATCCACCTGGTCTGTTCCCCACTCTGTCTCTCGTGACTCTTCTCACCCCCTGCACCCCTGGCCTTTGCTCCAGTTCTTGTATGGATAATAAATTGAGCTTTAAAAAAATTAAAATTGGGCCTCCCCAGTAGTGCAGTGGGTTGAGCGCAGTGCTGTGAAGCTGTCTACAGCCTCTGCAGCGTGGGTTCGAGCCCCGGCAGGCCAGGGAGATACCCACATGGTGCAGCAGCCCTCTCCTGTCTCGCCCTCTGTTCCCCTCAGCAATGCTTTCGGTCTGTCTACCTGTTCTGCTCCCCACTCTGTCTCTGGTGAATCCTCTCACCCTCCCGCACCTCTGGCCTATACCCCAGCTCATATAAATAAATAAATCCTTTTTAAAAATGTATCTGAGACACTTCTGGTGGAACACATAAAACTTTAAGACCCATATTTGAGAAAACACTTGAAAAATATACTTGTTTTTATATCTAAAGGTATAATATTAATGTAGGACTAGTCTCCATTTCTCTCTAAATCTTGATGACCATGGAATCAAGTCTGCTGTTAAAAGTGGTTATTAAATTTAACACAATAAGGAAAACTGAGTGATAGGACCATGTAGATATTATGGGGCACTGTGGTATTGTTACAGTTCAGGGAGAGGGACACCCTAGAACCCCCAAACCTGCCCACTGTAAATAGGTTCTGCCACTCACTGCATCAAGACAAAACATATAAGACCTTTAATGGAAAGAAACTTTCATACAATTAGTGTGCAATACAGAAAAGACAAAGAATATAGTTTATAGTTTTCAAATCGAGCACCCAAAGTTACCCATTCCCCTCATGGGTAAAAGTCCACCCAAACAAGACTGGTCAAAAGCAAGGCCTGAAAGCCTGCCACAAGTCTGAAGTACCCTCTGGCAGGGACCTATAGAAAAGGGTCAGAAATAGCCAGACAAGTCTGGGAGTAGAAGCAAAATCAAAATCAACATAAAACCTGCCATTGGTAACCTTCGCTCAGGTCTCTCACCCATGTCTGTTTTAACTAGTCCAGGACCAATAACCAAGTGCAGCTTCTTCACATGTATCTCTACTCCACATGCCTCCTTCAGGTCTCCTTCTTGCGCTCCATTCTGTTTCCCTCCAACTCCACTTTCCCCTCCAGCTTCTCCTTCTCCCAGCTCAGCTCCACCCTCCCATGGGTGGGGTGGGGAACCTGGAACCTCCCATTTTCCTGAGGACCACCCTGTTACAGTATCATAAAAGGCCTCTACCAAGGCTCAATGGATTATGATGGATGACTGAGAGACTTGGTGTTGAGTGTGGTTTGGTAACATATCTGAAGAGGTGTGAACCTCTATATCATATGCAGTGCTTGAAACAGATGGGACCTCAAAAAAAAAAAAATGACAGAAAATAATGAGCCCAGGTCACTCTAGTGGAAGGAACAGACCTAAAGAGGAAGATTCAAGGTTCTAGCTGAGTTTTAAATAATCAGTTATTATTATCCAGAATGAGATGAGGATAAAAATGTTTCTGCTACAACAAAAGCATTCTCAAGAACATCTAGGCAGAAGCTAGCTAGCACCTCTGGTGTTTGGAGTTGCAAAGGGAGAGGATGAGGAAGAGGTGAGAGTTGGGAGTTAAGTAGAAGCCCCATCTGTAAATCACTGACAAATGCTGTGAGTCACATTAAAAGGTGGGGCCTATAATCGGCAATTACCATTGTACAATAGTTGGAACCATTGTACATATCAGGATGCTTTTGTTGGAAGCAGCAGCAGCAGAGCTTCAAATTAGATTTAGAGCACTAAAAGAACCACAGCAGTATGAACCTGGGGCCAGGCAACCAAGACCTCTTCCCCTAACTGCCACACCTTCTGGTGACCCTGGGCAAATGCTTAACTCCCTGAAAAAGGAAATGGCGATACTACTACTACTTAGGATTTCTTCAGGTGATTTACCTGGTACACAATAAGTGCAGGGCAAATCCTCGTCATTACTTGACTATAGGTAGAGCCACTTTATAGAAAGACATAAGATTGATTGGCAGTAAATGTTGAGGTAGAAAAATTGGCTAAGAGTCGATCTGAAGTATTTTATGTTACATACGACACTGCTATAAGTAAAGGTAATAGAGTATAGAGTACAGGTAGAAAGTGGCAAATGAGATATACATATATATACACACACACACACATATTCATCACTCACCTGTTTTTTAATCTATGCTTTGGTTTAATCTAGTTTGTCAGGTGACTATGATAACTAGGCTACAGATACTGTGTTTGATATAATTTGTATTGTCACCTCGTCACTTAGTGTGACAATTCTGACATTTTGATGACAAAATTCACGATTTATTATTGAACATTATGGTTGTTCAATAAAGTCTCACAGAAGGACAAAAGAGTGAGGTGGAGAGAGAAGGAATAAAGGCAAGGAAGAGAGAAAGAAGAACAGAGGAAGGGAGACTTGGGAGAGGAATGAGAGTAAGAAAGACAGGGAGATTATTTTAGCATGTATCAGATTTCTTCTTTTTTTAATGTATCAGATTTTTCCATCATTTTAGTCTTTGAGAGCAATTGGTTTGGGAAATGAAGGCTGAGAGAAGAGTCAAATTATGGTTGAATTTCTTTGACAAATTTGTATTATGCTTTAAATACTCAATTTGACCAGCTCCCACGACAATATCCTCTGTAAGACCAAGAGGCGATTCAATTGTTCTGGGATACCCTGGAGTGTATGAGGAACCCCTAGAAGAATTGTGAACTATTTTAGGGCAATCATCTTCCCACCAATTCCAGATAATAATGGTCTTGGTTATCTTTTCCCTCTTCTCTAATATAAGCCTATGATAGATAAGGCTAAGGTTTATTCAGAAGATTTATTTTTTTTTACCTCTGAATATATACCCATCTGGAAAATTATAGTAATCATCTATTTTAATAATGAAACAATGTCCTAGACTAATTAAGAATGAATTATATTATGATGTTAACAAAAAATTTAAAAAATCAGATCATAAATTTTATATACCATTCTCCAAGATAAAGTATATTGTTAACATTTAATGTAACTAATTTGAAACTTTAAACAAGTAATGTAATATCTCCACAACTTGAATTGTCATGTCTTAAATTCTTTCACTGTCATAGCAAATACATGAAATACTAAATATAAGTTGAAGAGGAATATACCTGCTATATTTTTTGCTAGTCATTCCAGAAGTGGATAAAATGATCACATAGGGTCAGAACTGTGCTCTAGACAAAATTAACTTAAAAGAAGCTGTGTGCACAATAGACTTACAAAGTTCACTTGAACCCACATGGGTTGTTTTGCCTTTTCTGGGAAGTGTGACACCATTCCTCCAAAGTCTCTATGGCCAAAACCTATAGAACAATGATATCAAATAAATGTCTTCATTTTTTTATGCCCAAATTATTGTGAAAATACCCTACTGGCAGAAATTTAGCCCCCATCAAAATGCACTTAAGCTAATTTTGAAGGCTTCCCAGGAAGCTCTCCTTATATGAGCTCAGAAGTAAACCCCTGAGAGTTTTGGCACCATTGCTACATCTGCTAGTATGCTGGCAACTTTGTTGGTCAAAGTTTTTGCTACTAATGGCTATCATTGCTATTCCATCAATACCTATGCTCCAGAACCTGAACAAATCCTAGTCTGGCCCCCTGGTCTCCCCACATTGCCAGAAGAAAACTACCACACTCTTGAGAGTAGATCTCTCAATTCCTGGTATCTGGACAATACTCTACTCAACCATAAGCATCACATTTGTCCACGCTTCTTTTCTTGACTCTTACAGTATAAAGTCTGCTAACCATAATCCTGCACCACAATTAATTTTTTCCCAGTAGGAGCAAAAGTAAAAACATTTGCTTTCTTTAGGGTAGCTCTATTCCTCTCCCATAACCACCCAGATCCACTGGAACTATACAGTCAATTGCAAAAATATAATCATATATGACACATGTTCTTAGTCTTTCCCATGGCTACCTTTTTATGTTTCTTTGACATTTTTCATACCTCTAAAGGATGTTATAATTTTTACTTACTCTCTGTATCTTCCAAGACTATTTACATGACTCACAAAATCCACTGAAATCCTGTACATTCTTAGTCTCATTATATTAATTTGGCAATTACAAATTAAAATAGATATTAATGTAGCTGACAGTGAGAATAACCTGTATTCAGTGCTTTACATATGTTAACTAGCTTATAACATAAAACTATAAGAGAGAATATAATTTTCATCACCAGTTTAAAAATAAACAATAATTGGCAATAAATGATGAATACCTTAATTAAAGTGACATAGCTAGTAGATGGCAAATATGGGCTTCAAACTCCCACTTGTACAGTTTGGCTCTATAACCTATACTCTTAATCAACTATATTATAGCACTAATTTTTTAAAAGAAACTGCCTTTTTAAGGGAACTAGTCATCCAGCTGACCAAGAGTCCTCTATATATTCAAAATCTCTCTTGGAAACGACAGAGGAGAGCGAAAAGGTTATTGCACTGTAGACACACTGTCATTACATCTGCAAACTTCTGATGCCCCCTCATCATTTTCTCAGGGTGACATTTCCACAAGTGTTTTTGAAAGGAAACAACTGCATTCATGGTAGAAGTGGCTGGTAAAAGCAATTCGAAAGAGAGAATCACTAGAAGTAAAGTCATGGACAAATTAAAAAATATATACACACAACTATAACTATAGATATTATATATATAATCTAGATATATGTATACTATCTCTCTCTACATGCATACACACAAATACACACAAACACACACACACATGCTCACTCACTAAGATGAAGAATATAAAAGCTGACAGTCACCTCTAAGAGGAAAAGTGTCATAGAATACCTCAGACTGTGGTGTAATTTAATACTTTAAGCAAAAAAATTAGAAGGATGAATCATTTTTATCTAGTGCCAGATTTCCTAGATACAAAATAAAATATAACTGAAAAGTGACTCCCTGTGATCCAGAAACCCATCATATGAGAAAACCCATTATCGTACTTGAACTTGGACACCAGGCACAGACTCAGCACTGAGTCACATTAAGTTGGAATGAAAAAAGGCACCAGAGAGAAAGGAAAACACTGATCTTAAAAGAGTCCTCAATACCTAAGACCTTGCTGCCACCTTCCTTGTTTGAATTTGCCAAAAATTATACGGCAGCACAGAGTTACAGTCCACATAGTTTTGTCCCATATTGTTTCCAAAGCAAGGATGAAAATTGGGCCTGTGTGAGTAGAGAAAGAATTGGCTACATTCTTAATGATCTAGAAGGGCACCCAAATCTTTCTTTAGCTAACAATTCTGGACTCCCTACATGTATAAGAAACCGTTTGGGATATTTTAAAATACAGGCTACACCCAAGAAAAATTCAGAGAAAATCTCTGAGGGTGCCATCTATGAATCACTGTCTCTCCTTGGCTGTCAAGGCTGAAACTATTTCTGTGCGTTCTTCAAACATTAGCTTGCATCAGAATCAACAGGAGGGTTTATTAAAATGCAGATTGTTGAATCTGTGCCTCAGGCCTGGTTTGGGGTCCAAGAAATTGCATTTCTAACAAGTGCCAAGGAGATTTTGCTGATGACTGGATGACTCAATTTGACTTCTGCTAATAGAGGACCATAGCTATCTTAAGAGACAGTTACACTGAAATTTAGATGGACTATTCCTGCACTGCCCTAACTTTTTACCCAAGCACCTTGGGAGTCCTACAGAAATTGGGGCTAAATACATACTATGCTTGCACTGTAGTTCCACCTGAATCTCTTTCAGTATATTATCTTGACCCTTGAATGGCTATCATCTTTAACACTGATTTTCCAAACTCATTTGTCAACTCTGTGACATTTGTATCATATTGGTAGGCTTATTGGAAATCACAGCCAGAAAGCTCAACACTTTGCCTTCCATTACCTGTAGGGCAATGATGAGGTTTGAAGTTGTAATCTTAAGAGCTTTAGAGAAGTTTGACATAAAAGGCTCTGATTGCCTTTTCTCTACTTCAAGCTTTAACTGCCTTTTTCCTCACCCACCCCTTGGCCAAAGAGCTATAGCTGCCTTTCAAAAACTTTAAAATAAAAGACATCTAATCTGTTCTTTAAATCCTCTCCTGTTTTCTTTTACAGAATATCACTTTTTAATTTTCTAACCAAGTTAAAAATGATAGTGAATAGAATTCCACTGTAACTTGAAGATATGTCATTAGGAAAACTTGAATAATTATTTCCATAATAATAATCATTTTTCCCTTTTCAGCTTCTTCAAAACATTATTTCTATTATTTAAATTATGTCCTAGTGGGCCTCCCCAGTGGCGCAGCGGTTGAGCACTGGGTTGCAAAGCTGCCCGCAGCCTCTGCAGCGCCGGTTTGATCCGCGGCTGCTCCCCGGCCACCGAAGGGGGGTCCCACAAGGTGCGCAGACCTCTCCTGCCGCCCGCTGCTCCCCTTAGCAGTGTGCTTCGGTCCTTCCGCCTACTCTGCTCCCCGCTTTGGTTCTGGTGAATTCTCTCACCCTCCCGTGCTTCTGACTGTACCCAGTGCTTGTATAAATAAATAAATAAATAAATAAATAAATAAATAAATAAATAAATAAATAAATAAATAAATAAATAAATAAAAATAAATAAATAATGTCCTAGAATTTCTCACTCTTCTTTAAATTCCCTGTATCTTTCACTGCTTTATATTATGAATCATTTCAAGAGAATGAACTAAGAGTAAATTTAAAACTAATTTAAATAAAATCTACTTTTAAAGAGAAAGATATAAACTAGATTCTCCATGGGGTTACAGATGTAAAAAGAATCATACAAAACCTAGATAAATCAAAACTCTTATGCTTCTCATTTATCCAGGCAGATAACTTCCCTTGAATTCCTAAGAGTTTCAATTTGAAGACCAAAAAAACAAGCAATAGTTGTACTTATTCAACTTATTCTTCAACCATTCTTAGGAAAGGATGTTTTCTAATTTTTTTTTCCAAAATGGAGATAAATGAATTAATAATCCACTACTTTTTCTCATTGTAGAAATTAAATGAAGAATGAAGCTAAAATGCAGTTTTATTGACTAGTAAGACTTTCTCTTACTTTAACTGTGTGCTTTGTTATTTCAAGTGAAATCCAAAGTGGATAAGGAACTTATTTTTTCACCATTGTACAACAGCATAAAAATAAGCTTTTAAAAATATTTAATCAGGAACACATCTGAAATCCAAGAAATTTTTTTAGTAATGATATATTTATAAAGAGTCTATGACTTTGGTTGGAGCACTTAGAGGAATGATTCATGCAATCAATTCTAATGTTGAGTTACTATATTTTTTTCTTAGGAGTGAAAAAAAATAAGATGCATTCTAAATGTTTGCTTTTTTTTTTTTAATAGAAAATGTTCCTGTTATACATCCATTTCCTTTTGGTCCAAATGGATATATCACTATTTGTCCATTGTATGTTGGATACTACTATTTATGTTTAAAAGGGTTTTGAATAAGAACAATTGAGGAGCAAGACCCCAGCATCATAAAGCATGCTTTCATTTATTTGAAAAGATTCTAAAGTAATAAGGAAGTGAACAGGCACACAAATTATGGGATTCTTCAGCGGAAGATGTAAAGTTTTTTAATGTAATTTTAGTTCCCATACCTGATTAATCCTTAAGTCCTTTTAATTTTATCCCCAAATTGGCTCAATCCAACTCTTACCCCTACTACCATTCTCTCCATGCAGCCATTATTTTCTTCTTTAGAATGTTTCTGGGGCCTTCTAAACTAGTCTTCTTGATGGCACTCTGCCTAATTCTTAGCAAAAGGATTTCCTTTGCAAGAAATCTAAAGCAATTTTTTGGGAAGGATTCGAGAAAGATAGATATTAGCACATCTTTGAAGGTCTGGTAGAACTCACTAGTAAAACCATCTGATCCTGGACTTCCATTTTTTGAGAAACATTTGATCACTGTTTCAATGTCCTTGTTTGTTATTGACTGTTCAGGTTTTCTGTTTCTTCCTGAAAGAAATAAATGTTGTGCATTTCTAAGAATTTATCCAACTCTTCTATGTTATTCAACTTACCACTATACAAATGGTCATAGTAATAGCTTATGATTCTCAGAATTTCTGAGATGACTGTTGTAACTTCTCGTCTTCATTTATGAATCTATTTGTGTTTTCTCCTTTTTTTCTTTGTGAGCCTAGGCAGAGGTTTGTTAATTTTTTTTTCCCAGAGGGATAACATTTTTTTCATAACTCTTTTGTACTGTCTTTTTGATTTCTATTTCATTTATTTCTGATAATATTTTTATTATTTGCTTCCTTCTACTAGCTTTTGGTGTTGTCTG